CTGCAGCTCATCTCCAGGGAAATACTACGATTCTAGTCTATCATGAAGAATGTTATCGATGCAATGCAAACCGGAAAGAAGAGTTTGGATAGCCGTGTGGCAAAAATGATTTGTAAAAAAAGGACAAAAGGAATTACAGAGTGATAAACATGCAATTAAAATAACACTGCAGAGTCGCCAGAGCCGTGGAAAAGCTCGCTTGAAATTCCTTTAGGCAATCATATGAATATAGCAAGCACGAGATAGGGAATGCTGTATCTGTGACCGCATCTATGACAGAAGTGATTACTGCAAGATTACTGTAGTACCGTATCTATGTCAGAAACGATTACTGTACTTAGACATTATTACTGTATGATTACCGTATTACTGTATCTATGACAGGAATGACCGTAATAATAAGCCGATTGTAGCATCGAGGTTGATTTTGGAAGCCTAATTGGCGAAGGAGCGATAAAAAACAGAAAGAACAGTATAAGACATTTCGGTCCATTAAATCATATACGTCTTAATACCGCGACTGGATCTCGTCAGTATGACGGCTGCAGTGCCTAATGAAAAAGGAAAAGGAGTGGAAAGAAAGGGAAAAGCTATGACTGTGGGATTAGTGGAAATAAGGACGGGGCGAAGAGAAGATAAAGAGGAAAGAGCGACTAATCAAAGCAGCAGGTTTAAATTCATGTATTCACAAACAATCGGCCAGAACTCGTACCAGATCGTGTAGACCGAATCAGTTTCTTTATGCATATGACCCTCTCGGCAGTTCTCGGATGTGCCATCGTCTCCGACAAGCGTAAACTGCTCCTCGAGAAGCGGCGTAACATCCATGAACCATTTGTTCGCAATGCTTTGATTTTTGGCACGACCCACCGCATAATTCAACATGTAAATTGCCAAGACGAGCAGGACCAAAGCCTCCACCTGATATGATGCCCAGTTGGAACGAAAATGAGCCGGCACCTGCAAGAATTTTCACTTATAGGGCAAAACCTCGTCTTCATTTGTTACCAGATTTTACGGTCGCATCGCCAAAAGTGTCCTGAAAAAGCACAAAAAGAATCTCGGGAATGCCGGGAGTTATTAGTTATGGAATAAATGAAAACAAAAGGGACTCTGATATATATGCAATTTTTAACACAGGAAATGTGATTTTTTTTTCAGAAGTGTTTAATAAAATCGAATACAAGGACGAACAATGCATTATAAG